CAGAGATCTTCGTCTGATATCCGTTCATCATATCCGAGTTCACCTGATGGTAGTCGACTTCTCCCGGGGAAGTATCAATGTGCAGCAAATGGGTAACAACTACACGTCTGTGCTCAGGTAAACCCTTGGGAAGGTTCATTAGCAGAAATCTCGAAACAGCCATCAGTCTCTGCGTCTGGTAAAGTGATCGCGCCTCACTTGTAACCGAAAAGACAAGGCGTCAGCGGTTCGGGTTTGTGTCGGGAACCGGGCGACCCACGCGCGACTAGTGGTGGTTGCGTGGCAGTACGGTACGGTGTGCTGCTGATGTCTATTTTTGCTATGATTACTACTGCTGACACACAAAGGTGCTGACTGGTCACGATCCGTGACATTCGTACTGCCCATGACTGTCTCGGTGGGTTGCTAAAAGTGAAAGCAAAAAAAGCCGTCAGCAGTACGCCGGCACGTAGCACCGACGCTTCGCTGCCGTGCGGCCATCATCGGCCGCGGTTGCGCTAAGGATACTCTGAGGATCGACCGGTCCCCTACGCAGGCTCGAAACCGCGATATCAGATTACAAAGTAAGCTTGTGATCCTTATGGCCACTGACCGGTTAAAAGTGGAATCAAAACACTGTACGACTTAAGTTGTTCTGATTCAATAGTCCCCATAGATCTCGCTTCCTGCGAAAGATCATCCTCTTGCACGCAGTGCACGGAAACGCGTTGTTGCTTTCTTCAGCCCACAGATCCTAGTTGTGTTCATCTGTACAATATCTGCTACGAACAGCTGACCCCGACCAAAATGCCATTGTTCGAGATGCCAATGGGACTCCGGAATATCAGCGGCCAAAAGTATTTAGAACACGTGGGTCTGGATACTCTAGAGCGACGTCGGTTTACTGCAACCATTGTCGTGCTATCCAGTCAACGGGGGTTCTACCGGGATACAAAGGCAATCGTTTTAAGCAATAGGTACGTTCAACGGAGACCATATCACAACCGCTCATTGACATCGAACAAAAGCTGACGATTCCGCGGTAGAGAGCGCTAAGACCATTCACTGTCTTCATCACCACAGAAGCAGGTGTGACTTCCACACTCGTATCTTGCAGTAGGTTTTCCTAGATTAAGCTAGTGTCGGACCCGCTACCAAATAAAGCATACGTCTCAAGTAAGCGTAAGTTACCTCTCAAGAGCACTGACACAATTCCAAAATACATTTCTTGGAACATTGTAGGCAGCATGGCAACTGCTCGAATCCTTCTGTGGAGAGTCCAGTGCCCGGGTTATATAAGAGATTTTAATGGGATGCGTTGTACCCACTGTCTTTTAGGCGAACCTGATTTAAATCACCGGTAGCAGCCGCTCTTAGTTCCTTTGAGCTTCCAAAACTTGGGCGCATTGGAGTCATGAAAACAACTTCGAAAATAACACCTTTCTTTGGTAACCATCGTGATTTAAACAGCCCGATCGACTAGATTAATCCCACGTAACAAGGCGAAATTACAGCCCTCTCTATTACCTAATATTTGCAGCCACGAGGCACTTTGATACGCCGGGTGTTCGAGTTCGCAATCTGATCAAGTCTGTTACTTGCTACACGGGTTTCAGCAGCAATGGGATCCGTAAGCTCTCTAAAAACAACATCATATCCCTCTTGACCAGTCACACCTGCTGCTGTCGCCCACCTTAACTTCTAAATGCTTAGTAAAGCACGAGTCCAACTTTTCAGTGGTCCTTACGGAGTTTAGATCAGCGGTGCAGTTCATCTGCGACAGGGATAGGTAACAATTCCCTATTTTTAAGGACAATTGAGACAACCATCGGGTTCGTTAGGCGACGGTCTCAACCAGGCGAATAAACCATCGATTAGTGATCTGACCACTACGTAACATTGACCCAACACATCGTTCGTAATATCCCTGACTCTCTCGTCAGCCTGTTCAGATGGCAGCATCACACGTTCACTAGCGCGGACTTTACAGTAATAAACCAAGTACACTGAGCACTGACCATCACCACTTACCTGGCCTTCGATGAAATACTCAAACTGCTTTTCAAATTTCTCCTGAGGTACCATTGTCACCAAAAACACTCGCCCAACCTTTGGAAAGTCTACAAACAGTCGGCAATTTGCTTGTGAATGCTTTGGGGCGGGGGGTTGGGATCGCTCTTGTCGACAGTCCCCTATGGAACGGTTCATCTGTTCGTCCTTCGAATCGGAAAGCTACTCAATGCTTTCTACCTCCTCACCTACCTCCCGTCCCAACTTGCTCATCTCTGACTCCGTCTCTGCCTTCTGTTAACCTTAGAGCAACGAACGGTGTACGTGAACCACCGCTATGTCTGCTTACCAGATTACTATGCGTTCCAAAACCAAGAGCATCATCGGCGATGGAAGGAAAACGCCCACCTTTCCGAGATCCGTCAACGAACGTCAAAATATTGGCTGCTGATTTTTCTTGAAAAGTGTGGCAAGCATTATTTGCAGAAGTCCAGGAAATAGTTAAACAATGTAACTAACTTCGGTGCTATTTGGCAAACTAGTCATGGCAAAACTGTAACCGTTACGGCTCTGATTAATTCATTCAGTTATTGGTCGGACAGCAAGTAAACTTTGTCTAGCTAGAAGTCTTCCAGGAATACAAGTACCTGGGCGGCTATATTAGCGCCTGTGGGATCGAAGATGAGGTTACGCATCGTATAGCAAAAGCTCGAGGTGCTTATGCCAATCTCCACCACCTGTGGCGCAGATGCGACATCACTCTCTCCCTGAAGGGCAGAGTTTATAACGCAGCCGTCCGTTCAACTCTCCTATATGGTTGTGAAACTTGGCAAATCAGGTTGATAGATATAAAGAGGCTAGTTACGTTCGATCAACGCTGCCTTCCCAGCTTAGCTCATGTCTGGTGGGTACACCGCGTGAGCAATGAGCGTGTTCGGCGTCGCGTATTTGGTTCAGGAAGAGCGAGTGAACCGCTCAGCACCATTATATCACGCACCAGGCTCCGATGGTTGGGCCACGTGTTGCGCATGCCAGCACACCGACTCCCGCGACGTGCATTGTTTGCGCGTTGTGGGTGCGGTTGGAAGAGGAGGAGGGGAGGCCAAGTGATGACTTGGTCGAGAGAAATGAGAACCCTCACTTCGAAGTTGGCGTCGGTTGGTGCATCCCGACTGCCTGGCTGGGGTCCTAAGGACGGTGAACACGTTTGGTTGGACACACTTGCTGATATGGTTTGTAGCCGGCCCCAATGGCGTTTGTGTTATCAGTTCCTTTGTCCATCTCCCTCCTGCTTAGCCTTCCTCTCCAATCGCGATCTCATGCAAAACGCGTAATATAATATTTAACATCATATCTTTTTGTAGTGTAATTTTTTAATATCTCATATTTTTGTATTGCGGCACATTAGCTGACGTGTGTTTCTCACCCTCAGCTAACGTGTACTGATGATGAGGATGACGAAACCTTGTCGTTCGCTCTCCCGAAGCTGCGGTCTATTCATCCATCCACTAAATACCCCGGCGCATTTCGTGATCTAAAGTTGAAACGAGTAGTCCTTACACTGCGGTCTTGGGAGTGAGCGATAGCGAAATTCTCCTCTTCAGATGCGGTTCTTGCGATCGTAATGACCCAGATTTACATCGAAGTAAACCGTGATCCTCCCAATTGAAATCGCGTGTACCAATCTAAGCACATCAGGTATTACAGAGAAGTAATAGGGGGAGTTGAATGGTATAGGTAAAAATTCGTCACATCTAGACTCACTCAGACAGTCGCCACACGCCCGGAAAAGCACTGTATGCACGTTTCATCCTTTCGGGAATCGTCAGCAGTGCACATTCCATCGTGACGAATTTCTACCTATTCCATTCAACTCCCCCCTACTACTCCTCTGTAATCAGTACACAGACCAAACTGCTTATAATGCCATAAGTTAATCGGCGGCTTAACTTTGGTAAGCTCGTATCTTGATGAGGGTGCTACCCTGTCCTCTGCACGGCAGTAACGTGTAAGTAAGTGGATAACGAGCAGCGCTACATCACATCTAGTAACTAATTCACGATGGTCGTTATCGTCCCCCGTAGTTCAGTGGTCTCAACCACGGACTGGCAACAGTCAAGTTGCGAATTCGAGCCCTACCCCAGGGTCCGATGGGATGCTCACTGCTGACATCAGGTATATCAAAAGCGTACGGTATTTCGACTGTCTTCGCACAGCAAAGTGTTGCCCATCTGCGATTCTCTCTGGTGACTAAAATTTTCATCTCAACTCATCGAATATCACGTATCAAAGGAACGCTCCTAAATCCTGCTGGTTACACTAACCATCGCCTAGCTTTTGGACCCAGCTAAAAGCTTCTATCATTAACGATATGAATAAACTTTTATTTCTCGACAGTTCGAGAGACTGTTCCCACGTAGTAATCAGTTATTCTGATGAACGTGCATACATCTACGAATAACCTGTTGTACAAGTGCGTCATTCATAGGAAAGCAATCGTTCGATTACCATCCTGGACGAGGTCAAATTGTATGCAACCAAGTACGGCGGAATTGACATTCGCCCGCGTTGTTGTTGTACATGTTGTAGGAAGAAGGAATTCTCTCGAGCGTTCATGTCACTATCACCTGTGCGGATGGTTAACTACTCCGAAGAAGTTTTTATATATTACTGCAAACGTGGCGTTCATGGTGTTTTACCACTTATACCTAGTTGTTGGTGTTCGCACTTCTCGATTCTTAGCTTTGTCACATTTCGACTATACATATTCCTCACCCCCTCGTGCATGTCCCTTATCTGATGGAATTCCCACCCTTTGTGCGAATTCTTTTGGCATGATCTACGTATCATTTGTCCTCCTGTGCAGCGATTTATCAACCAGAGAGGTATGTTTCTCCAGTTCAATTCACATATTCACTAGTATCTGTTCGCGCAACTACCTTGTTGCACAAGTATGCATATACGTACCCGGTTTCTTTTTTCTGCTTACTCCCCCCCCCCCTTTGTTTTAGTATCTCGCCAAACGTCAACTGAAACGACCTCCTTCGGCCCTCACCACGTTCCTGACCTCAGTCGCGACATTCTCCGGGCACCCGGCTACTCACCATCGCCGGGTCACCGGTATGACTGTGCCATTTCGTGACCAGCAGGCACAACGGCCAACCGAGTATTATACACGCACCGGCCTCAGCGATGCATCGGACTCTCACGACCCCAAATTGAAGAACGTGCGACAAACAGAAATCCTGGTCGATCTGAAACACGCCATCCTAACGGTCTGTCGCACACACACACAACCTGTCAAATGTTTGCGTTTGTTCGATCTGTGCCGATTTGCATTTACAGCTGTGCCGCGTTTGGTCTGTGTCTGTTCGACTGATGTAAATTTTCTCTTTCCCTCCCCCTCTCTTCCAGATTACGCGCCACTTTCGTATGTGTGATCCCCAACACGCGAATGCCAGCGCACAGGCTGATTACTCAATTGAAAGCCACGGGCTGGATTTGCAAAACTACGTCCAGGTGAGTTGGGGCTATACTCTCTCTCTCTCTCTTTCTTGATCCATATTGGAGCGCGGACATTCATTATCGCTGGACCATTGGTGCTCCTCGGTCAGTGTATCAACTACGATCCCTGCACTTGAGTTGCATCAAGTCACCTTGATCCATCTCACTAAATTAATAATAATAATACTGAATACTGCATTATGGGAGTAAGTAGAAATTTGAATCTGTACAACTCCATCGAAATACGATCACGCTCTATCACCTGTCAGTACCGTGACCGGTTTTAGAGTTCTCATGTGATATCGTAAAAAAATGTGTAACTCACAGCAACTTAGGACTCACAAAACTGAGACATCAGTGGGTAATCATTCTCGGAATCTAAGATTGGAGAAATGCTCATCCAGCAAAACCCCGTTCTTTTGCAAGCAACGCCATAAAGCAAGTCGATCAACGGAGTCCAGTGCTACACGTATGTCTAGGAATGCAACGATAGTCGACCTGTGATAAATGTGCCGATGTTCGAGGAGTTGACGAAGCGTGAAGATTTGATCCACGTATCCGCGGCCGGGACGGAAACTAGCTTGTTCTTCACGGTAGGATGATTCACGTATTGGGGATAGTCTACGGAGCAGAATGAATGTCAGTAGCTTGGAGGCAACCGAAATAAGGCTAATCCCGCGATGATTTACACATGAAGTGCGGGCGCCTTTCTTGAAAATCGGGACAATAACTGATTCGCCCCAAGAAGAAGGCACTTTCTCTTCATGCCAGATTTTTGCGAACAGTGCGGTCAGCTGGTTAATGATCACCACGCCGCCGTACCTGAACAGCTCCGGAGGAAGTCCGTTTGAGCCGCCAGCCTTGAACCGCTTCAAGCGTTGGATCTCGAGGCAGACTTCCGCTCCGCTGGGTGGATTCAGTGGGACGAGGCAGGGTGGAAAACAAGGTATACTGCATACACTGATGAATGGTGTCCGGTTGCATTTCGAATGGGTGCTCGGCCCATCGGTTTAAACTCCTCCGTTGGTTGGTGATCGGAGACTCATCCGTCTCCCAAATAACCTCACTGACACCTGGCTTCCTGTGGCCATCGGACCGAATGAGTCGGAAAAGCTTACGAGTGTTGCCAGAGAGGTTAGCAGTCTCCCTCTCTATAGCACCCTCAGACCACCATGCCTCGCGATCCCTGCGTGGACTTTGCTTGAGCAGCTGGTTGGTAGAACTGCGCCGCTCGTTGCAATCTGATTCCGCCGGGATATCTTTACGACATTCGAACAGCTCCAGAGAACGAACAGAGATCCAACCCTTCAAGGGGTGTCGAGCAAGGCCGCAGCTTGACTGTCCGGAAATAGTCATTGCTTTCTGTATACAAGTCCAGTGTTACTCTATATCTTCCGGTGGATTGTAACTGAGTGCGTATGCCAGTGAAGACTGATAGCCCGCCTGGATAGAGGCATCAGGCAATCCGTTTACATCAATCTTGCGGTACTTCGTTTTTCGGGTCCCCCTTAAAACACATGCCGATTTTCATGCAGACCACTGCGTGATCTGAGTCAACAAAGGTGGACCAAAAGGACCTGCAATCCAATACGTTGCCACGCCATCTGAAGCTAATTGCAATGTGATCAATTTGAGACCACTGTTGTGTTGGCGAAGGGGACGCCCCGTTGCGGAACACTTATTAGTACGCCTGAAGTTAGTGCTCGTGAGAAACAGATGGTTGTCTTCGCACAATGTGAGAAGCCTCTCTCCGTTATCAGAGCGGTTCTCATCGAGCGCGTGGTGACCACCAAGATGGCGTTCATATGGTAACAGGCGGCCAACCCGTGCATTAAAATCCCTAACAACGACAACGGATCCCGACTTTTAGCATGTCAAGAGCTTAGGTAGATCCCGGTAGAAGACGTCATTGACCGAGTCACTACTGCAATTAGTTGGAGCGTACGCTGAGATCACAAACAATTTGCGTCTCTCTTCGCGGCGCTTCTTGATTCTACATGAACGCCGAAGCCGAACTGCACACAGTCGGCTGTTAATCGGGAACCAGTCCAGTAAGGCCGCCTCAGCATTGCCACTTAGTGCTACACTTACACCAGCCAAACCCGCTGAGTCTGCTCCTGGATCTCCAGGAAGACGCACGTGATATCTGGCTTTTTGGTCAGTAGGGGATGTCAATGTAAGCACAGTGCTGGAATCTTGCAATCGGGTTTCTGATAGGCATCAGACATCAATATCGAGGGACTCTAGGGTGTGCGCTAGACTGGCTTGCTGTTCAATCTGCATGAGTCTCCGAACGTTGAAGCACGCCAGACGGAACGAGGATCGGGGACGAAGGAGTGCCATAGGTTGGACCCTGTGATTCGCGGCGCAATCGGAATCGCAGCCAGATTTTTGAACACATGAGTCGGGTAACGGAGAGTAAGAATTGTTAACAAACAAACAGTTGGCGTGTGATCAAGTCGCGTGAATGTGAGACAGAAACGGTAGCTGATGAATATCTTGTAGTACAGTTCATGGTTTTGTGAGGGCGTGATACTACCTGGTTGCCCAAGCCGAAGTAGCGAGTTGACTTAGGGGATCCCACCCCGATCCTTTGGCTAAATAACCTACCCTCAAGGCAGCGGGGCGAATTCAGGGAATGGTGCCCATTGGGATTCGCTGACTGAATGTTCAGTTCATACGTCTTTCGTTTGGTAGATCACTAAACAGGGGCCCAATGCTCCTCATGAAATCAGCACCATTGCTGGACTACAATACTCCATCATGGTGGGACACTTCACTGGAACGGGTACACCCGAACCACCCAGCTGCCACCACGAGAAGTTAGTTCGGCAAGCCAGTATTAAAAAGCTAGACGTCAAATGTGGTGTAACTGCTACTGAATAGACATAGCTCCACCAAATTTGTGCAGATTTCGCCGGGCTTACCTCAGACATACATTCACCATGCGGAGACTCAGACTGCGCTAGAAAACACACAAACCATCCCCGGGACAGGGCTCAGGCGACAAGTAACCAACCGAGCTCCACTCAGGAAACTGGGGCATCTGATCTGTACGCTTCAATGAACCACTTGAGCTTCTCCCTTGCTGCAACGGTTACCGCATAACGCCACACTGACACTCTTGAGTTTCTCTCAGAACACTACCACTGGATGAGAACTCATGTGCCTTGCCAATATCTACCTTTCTCTATAGTTTATGCCATTATTATTGAGCTATAAAAATGGTGCGGAAGGCATTCTTCGCCTTGCCTCTGAGTCAGGAAAAGAACTCTTTCTAACGACCAGTCTTCTTTCTGCTTCTGGTCACATTGCAATCGTGCTAGGTTGCGCGGGTTCGTCTCCACTCTTAGCTCGCGTGTACGTCTGGCTGGTCCGCAATGTTATGCATTCGATTGACTACTCTGCACGCGTGGGGTGCATAACCTTCGTCCGTTACGACTAACAGTCGAAACAACTAAGACGCGTTATAACAGCAACAAAACAAGGGTCAGTTGGCACACGTACTCTAATCCCCGACTGACATTAATCACCTGAAAACGTTGGGAGATACAAAGTAAGCAAACATGAAATTTACTTTTGAATTTCGGCGTACTCACCGATTGTTCAGCCTTGTACACGCAATCTCAGTTTGGACTATGGCTTACTTAACGGTAAACCTCAATCATTACATTCTCTAGATCCGAGTCTGAAGTGAACATGTTCGCAGTGTTTCTAAACTCACTGAACTCCACAATCTGTCTCCCTTAGTTAGACTTTTGGGTACAACACAGGAGCCGGAAATCGACCCTGACACGTAGTGATCGTTCCCTCTATCTTGATTCTTAGTCCGCTGAGATCCTCGGGTAACACCAGTAATTCGTTGTTGCCATCAATACTGCGGTAACTAAGCCTTGACTCCGATGTCGTGCTGTGTCGTGCTGGGTACGCCCGACCGTAGAATGATGAAGCGAACGCAACTACTTACACATTGCAAGTGGTATAAACTGGTGGTTTGGGAATTTGTACTACACCGATCTCTCAGCCACTCCGGCCATCCACCAGTGCAGGTGTCATTCTGACACCGCGTTAGCCCATTTGTCATTATATTTCTCCCGTGGTCTCCTTCATGTGGCACATCTGGGCGTTTTCAAAGGATTGCCAGTCATTTCGACAGCAGTTGCTTTCACGCCAAACTGTTCTGGCTCCGCCATTTCCGAATTAAGTTACCGGTGAGAGTAGTCAGCGCCTTCATCAACATCAATACACATTAGTTGAGGGGAAATACCCTTCAGCAAATGTGCCGCAATACAAAAAGTTAAGATACTAAAAATTATACTACAAAAAAGTTCAAGTAAGTAATATGATGTTAAATATTATATTATGTAATTCACGTGAGATCGGAATTGGAGGGAATCTATAAGGGGGGAGATGGACAATCACAACAGAAATGCCACTGAGGCTGACTCTTCGCCATATCAGCAAGTGTGTCCAAACAAATGTGTTCATCGTCCTTGGGACCCCAGCTCGGCAGTCTGGATGCACTAACCGATGCCAACTTCGAAGTGAGGATTTTCATTCTTTTCGACCATGTAATCGCTTGGCCTCCCCTCCTCCTGTTCCAGCCGCACCTCCGGCGCACAAACAATGCACATCGTGAGAGTCGGTGTGCTGGTATGCGTAACACGTGGCCTGGTTCGTGATATACTCGTGAGTGGTCAGCGCCTTGGGTACAGTCCATTCATCACGCGCACACCCCCTTCAGAACTCGAAATTTGTTTAAGACTTGCTTTCACCTCTTTTAATGGATGCTTCGCTGACCTCTGTCTGCTTCAAGGCCTAACGTTCTGATTCGAAAATTTATGCTTCGGGACTGGATATTTCTCTGTCGTTTTCCAAACACTGCCGATTCGTTTATCCTTTGCCACGCTACATCTAACCCACATTAATCATATCATTCTCATTAAAACCTGTTCATGTGTGACACTTTTATGATGTCCTATAATAAGGCCGACGAGAGTTTCACGGAAACTCTTACGAGATATTGTGTGTCACATTCTTTTGCCTCCATCTCGGGAATTGTAAAGTGGATCAGCCACGTTCACTGGTAGTTGATGTTTAAACTTGGTAGCCATCTTTTACTAATATCTTCCCACCCGATTACCGTTTTTGTCGTTTGTATCAATGTATGGGAAAATTCATCACTTACAGTCACTTTCATTAATAACGTATTAATCTAACTTGGCTTCCGCATCACCTCTTTTATGCATCCCGTCTTCTTCATCGATTTTAATCAACTGTCATATTTAAACACTTGTCCCATGGTCTCCCTGTTTTCTGCACTGACCCCCTCGTTCTGACCCATTCCATAAACTTAAGGTTGAGTTGTCGTTTTGTTGTCTTAAAATATTCCAGTTTAAAAGACATTTTTCCACCATACTATCGATTCACTGCCTGTTCTACAAGACGATGCCGCGGTTCATGGAGGCATTTCTTCGGTAGTGTTCCACCAGTCTGAATTCAGATAAGGAAAGACTTTTTATGAAATCTGGTGTGCAAACGCATTTAACTGCTCTATAGAACATGAACGGTTTATTGCACTGAGTTTTCTTTGAATTTCCGAGGACATCAAATCTGTTTTAAAGAACAGTTCCTAAAGTTTCGTATGTAAGTGGTCCTTTTCTGTTTTCTGCCATAATTTCTAACTTTGGTTGTGGCAACGTAGCACATATGCTTATGTAGTTATATGCACCATGTGCACTCATAATATGTTTGTCGTTCACTCATCAGAATCTGCCGTTTTTACCATTTTTCATCTACGAAACGGAGCACTTATTTGCTCTACGACACGCGGAATTGTGTTCTGACAGGAATATGGATATTTTACCTTGCAGAAGAAATTCCATAAAATGATATAATAATTGTTTATTGCAAAATGGGGACATTGCACGTTTATATGAAGGAAATTATTTTATTTTCATCCAGTTTTTTGTTTGCATTTTCGCGCCGCACCACTGGTTTAACGCCATCCATTTCTTCGGTCCGGTTACTAAATATCTGTGTCACTTGATCTACTTAATGCTTGATTAGTAGTATAAAGGTATGTGTGCATTCTTGCATATAACCTGTTCAACCTTGATATGCTTCCATCCCAACCTTTTCCCAGGTTGCTCAACATCGTCACAAACGATCCAAGGCGCTTATCGATTTCGAACCGTATGAACCAGATGAACTTAGATTTCGGAAAAATGACATCGTCACCATCCTCAATTCGGATGATGAACACTGTTGGATTGGCGAATTGAATGGGGTCCGAGGTTGGTTACCCGCCAAATTTGTTGAACTGTTGGATGAGAGAAGTAAAAGCTACTCGGCTGCCGGCGATGATGGAGTTAACGAAAATATTGCTGGTCTTGTCCGCGGGAGGTATGCCATTTCGTTGGTACAACGGTTGCATTTTACCTCGAAATTCACTTTATCTATCGTACTATGTAGAGTCTGGCGCTGCTCCCGCATAAAAATTATTCGCACAGATTCCCTACCAAGTGCTTGAGTTCCTTATGGTATTCTTTTTATTGAGCGCTCGTCAACGTAACCTCTCTACCTTTGGTCGCATTTCATCCCAGTGAGACCTACGTAGGACCGTATCGATCGTACATCATCTGGATGTTATTCTCTTTGTATCACCATACCCTCTGTTAGGTTTAATATGTGCATCTGTAACTGCTACACTGATAGAAACTAGATCGTTAAGCTCATGTCTCCATCGTTAATGTGTCTTTACGAGGCAACATTTTCAGTCGAACCGATGTCCTCATTGCAGCAAATTATATTCCCGACTTTTGTGGACATAGTGTCACGGAGACTCATCTTTCGCAATACTTCGCCTACTCAGCTCAGATCATTTCCTCTAAGTAATCATGCTTTGAGCACCGGAACATTGCTTACATTGCGCGGTGGAGTAAAACGCTAAGGAATAAGTTATCAGAATTACTCGGGCTTCCTACGGAAGAGTCGGATGCAAGAGAGTCTTGTGCTCTTCTGACGATGTCCCATCCTGACTCTCCATTGCTTCACGCCGTTATGTCAAGTCATCGAATTGGGTTACTTCACAGTCTCCTTTCCGATAAGTTGAAACAGCGTCACACATTATGCGCACTGGTAACGAGCATGGTCTAGCCAACGCAACCTGTTCGAGGTTAGCAAACATTCCAATGCCTCTAAGAAAGGTCTCACTTCAAACACCGATTTCCGGGCTTCATTCTTGCTCGCTCCTTTCTTATCAGATGTGAGCAATACCCCGCAAGCATCAGGCAAACAACGGCGACCAACCTCTGGATGTCTTCAGCGCGAAATGACTAGAACTCCGCTACATTTAGTAATATCGGCCTTATCGCAGCTTGATACCTTTTTCCTTTAATTGATAGGCTAACATCCATCCGTTTCTATACGTGATTGCGCTTCTGATAACTCACACTGGCTTTGTTGCTATGTGAAATAATCTACTCATGGTCATCAGAGTTGACTGTTTACGGTGACTATTCGGTGATAGCTGGAACCGGTAACATCTCGGCTCACTCCTGCAACAGCACATTACATTCTGAGGCTTCAAAGCACATGCCAAAGCGTGTAGCGCTATGTATCATCCTGTTCCATACTGCTTGCATAGCAACTTGATCTGACCCAAGGACAGCTCTTTCACCCGCACACTCGAGGATTGTTCATATTTTACCTGTCAGAACCCACTCGGAAAGAAGCCAAGCAGGTCTCGTTCTTATTTTGATCACGCAGTTGAACTGGAAGTACTTAAAGGACAGTGCTGGCGAACCTCACTTGTCGTGTGCAACTCAAGAGGCTGTTCCGCCACACTCTCGCTTGGTATCGAAAGTTGCGTTTCTTAGGTTTCGAAGGGTTTCCTTAGCCCCCCCCCATCCCTCAATCGTAGTCACCGTCACCCAACCCGACCCGATCAACTTAGTCGTGAGCAGCTCTCGAGTCCATGGAAACCCTATGATGTATCCGTCCCCATGTGTCACTCTGCCGGCACTTAGTGTGTCGTCTAACGAGTAGAATCCAGCCCAATTCCCACTGATTTGATCCTCGCGATGATCACCGAGTCGCCGCCGCGTTATGATTATTGTGAGTAGTTTCGAGACAACGACAGTAATACCGATGCTTTTTGCATTAGATCCTGTTTGTGACTCATTTTCAGGCTGGCGATGACGGTCGCACTTCTGAAATGTCACCTCTTTAATGTCCCAACTAATGTCGAATTAGAGCACCAAGTCCAGTCAACAACGCGTTGCCCTCATCTTTCAGCAAAGATGGTTACATGGTCCGTTCAAATCCCTTCCAAAATGGTAGGTATGATTCCACCACCCTCACGTATTGGGAGTACTGAGCTACTGATAATGTAGCGTGAATCGAAGTGAGACGCGAGTGCTGAGTGACGAATTCTTTTCAATAACATTCAGCAGACTCATACGTTTGCATAGTTGGGATTACATGCCAAATGTGTCAAGCTGGTCTGATTAATGCTAAATACGTTCAACTCAGCGACTGTATCGATAAGTCGCGATATCGTCGAAGGTGGTAAATTAAACGTAGGGAAGAGGTACTTACATACATTATTTTCACAACCAATCAAAGGTTAACAGCAGTAAGAAGCAAGTCGAATGATCACTTACCGAAAGATGTAGGCCACGGTAAAAGTAACTGGCGTAGAGATTGCTTTGGTACACACAAGTCCGGCTTGAGGTGGCGGATATAGATGGATTCAGCAATGGATAGATGTTTCCGGAATCCGCACAAGAATCGCCCCAGAATGGGATCGATAACTCTGGACTCGTTTTCAGTACCTGTGTGATCTTACTTGAGGAGATGTGACATGACGTAGGTATTAGAATACCTCGCTTCACCTCGGGATGTTTAGGATGGCAAGAACGAACAACCGTTGAGCGGCATAACCTGAATTCAGATTATTTCATGTGTTTGCAACTCCTTTGAGATAGGCGCCTCATAGTGCGACCCACGTACCGTGCACCACAAGAGCGCGAGCACTTGTAAACAAGCATTCATCAAGTCAACAGAGGCAGTTTATCCTTCAAAGGCCACTAAATAGGAATTTCCGGATTGCCGAAGTTAAGCATCCCTCGTGATCCATACTGATGATGTAACAGCACTTTGCCCTCTGAACTTATTGCCACGCTTACTAACCGACCTCTGGAGGGGGGGAAATATTGGGATCCCACTTGGATATAGAAGTGAGAGAGACTGTCCTCGCGCTTTTGATGTGACCATGCGGAGCCTTGGAATGATTTCCCTCACCACATTCATGGTCTCTCGCCACTTGATGATACACACAGTTTCTTCTCATGTCTATCTATAGAATTGTTGGACTCTTGGACAGATGACACGTTTGTTGTTGTGGTTGTGGTTGTCCGTTTCAATGCAATTTATGCGTTTTCTGCAACCAAGTGGGTGCATATTCAACTTTTACACGCACGCATTAAGTATTGTTGGAAGAATACTACTTAAAACATTGCATACACAAGTAGGTTAATAGGTGGCATAGACAGTAATGTTTACAATGAAAAATTGCCTGTAAACTCCAGTAAACTAAGGTCCGGTCGCACAAAAAACGCTCCAGATTTGGATTTACTGATGAGCGGTAAGCACTTGTACGCGCACAAATGGATCACTACTTTTCTCTGGTTGAGGAACTTGTTACACACGATCAGACAGTACACCATGAAAAAGAGTGGCTAGTACCAGTATTATTGAAGCAAGCGTTTTGCATGAACTGGTATGCGTAAACACAAGAATGTCAACAAAGGTCTGCTTTTGATTGTCACTACGTCGAGGCAGCTGCGTCAATGGTCTATCTAGGATTTTGAAATACCTCTTTGTGAAACCAGAAAATGGCGCAGGAGAGCAATAGGTCCAGTGCGGTAAGACACAAGTGGTGGTAAATTGCAGTATCAAGCAGCAAAGGACGGAGGAATATCGCAGCTGAGCAGCGTAGAAGGAAAGCCTTATTTTTCTCACCTGTAGTGGCCAAGAAAGATCATTACACTGACTCGGTGGAGTGCAACTTCTCATCAGCTATGTGAAGTTCAGGGCAATCTATAAGAACTTTCTGATAACGACAGCCTTTGTGAATGCAAAAAAGAACATTCAGGGATAAGAGGTGGGCTCTTTACCACAATTCAAGATTTTTCAGATGGGCTTGTAATTTCCTTACTAAGGCTGCGGTCGGATGTTGGATACCAAAGACCACGTCATATGCATATTTCAGCAATATCACTTCATCAAGGGCAGGTGGTGCGTTGACGTAAGTGGAAAAGTGGTATGGGGACAGTATGACTACTTGAAAAAACCGGTGACTATGGTGAGCAGCGAAGGACTTGTGCACCGAAGTCGAGTAAACTGGGCATGTCCAGTAAACTAATCTCTCAGCAGGTGGACTCTATGGGGTTAAATTCCGACATCATGTTGGTCTCTTAAAAGAAGCTCACGGTTTGCACTGCTGAAAACATTCCTGTAGTCGAAAAGACAAATTTGCATGAATTTGATCTCGTTGTCTAGTGATGCCCGCACGGAATGTAAAAAGTATGCTATTGCTTCTTGAGCAGATCTCAGACCACGATAATCAAACTGGAGCGGATCATCTGGACGATTTTGAGTCAGCATCTTTTCAAGAATAATCTTCTCGAAAATCTCCAAGTTTACTGAGATGCAGGCAATTGGCCGGTTTGGCGCTGATCCAATTATAGCACTTCCGCAACAGTCAGCAATCTTACCTTTATTCATGCACAACGTGTACAAGTCGTCAAGAAGCTGGGCCAACGAATTGACACACACCTTGCGGACAACGGGAGATAGTCTATCCGAGCCACTTGCCTTGTTGGTATTTAGCTACAGCAGTTTATCGGGCTGAGTCCGTTCGCACGTTGGATTGTAGTTGAACGAACACTGCTTGCTTTGTCTATTTTCTTGCCTGCAATTTACTTTTGAGTGAGAGAATATCACTGGCATACCTTATCAAATATGCAACTCTTTTGCCCAGCGAACGCCCCTATTTCCAACGCCCAACGCATGGCAGACAATTAAGCAATGGCTTAAAATAAAACTTCAGCCCACGAGCTTGTGGCCACGCCCAGGAATCTTACTGACAGCACTTATTTTGGGGCCCGATCGTGACTATCCCAACAATGTGTTATTGCGTCTCGTTGATATTTGGTTTGGTAGTGTCTGTTTCGTAGGACTACTGTTCCGGCTTATGTCATGCATGTCGCTACCGCTTGCCCCTTCGATTTGTGCGCTAAAGGAAGATATGTTTGAAGTCTGCTATTAGTTCCGTGACTTCGCCTGCGGATTTTTAACGTATTCATTGATCAGAACTCCTACGGTTTTCCTTACTTCGTCTATTCACCTCGCTAATTAGACCAATCCTTGAATACGGTGCCCCAGCTTACCATCCGATAACTCAATGGGAAACTGAAAAGCTGGAGAAAATACGACATATTGCAACTAGAATGATATCGAGTCTACGAAAGCTTCCGTATGAAAAACGTTGTGAAAGTCTCGGACTCTACACACTATCCTCGCCGAGTAAGAATTGACCTTATTATGACCCACCGAGTACTACATTTAAACCACTTCCCCATACTGCGGCCAATATTTCACCGGCGGGAACCCTGTAACACCAGAGGACACCGTTACAAACTCAGGGTCCCCAACATGAACAAAGTATCACATCAGCTTTGTATAGAACGAAGAATCGTAAACTTATGGGATACACTACCCGAAGGATTAATAGAGGCCGATTCTGTGAAGTTTTTTAAAACCCCTATCGAGGATTATTTCGGGAAACTGTACTTTTGTGAAGCGATGCACATACAATGCCAAAAGAAGACATTGTATGTCCGGAAATAATGATGCTAGTACAAATTTCTAACCGAACACGGATAAACGATTAACGGACCAGACACAACTGCTGATGATTCACAATTAAATGTTTTTGATTTTTCGTACTTCGATAGAGTTGTACAGAAACCTTTCTACTTACTCTTAAATACAGTCTCAGTCTCAGTGCACTTGTTGGCCATACTTCGTTAGGCCTATATAATTTTTCCCTATTCCTCTTCACTATTGTCCGCCTTCTCTTCCCAGTCTCTGTGACGCCTTGGGCGCCGTATTCACCCATGGACTGAAGCGACCCCGCCTCCTTGGTGAATCGGGCTGTCATCCCTGGCATTTTATAGAGGAGGCGGCCGCCAAAGAAGTCGAACGTGATTTCAGCTCTGTCTACTCTCGACTGGTGCTGTGCAAAACATTCCGGCTCGATGAGGAAGGAAAAGTGTTGAGTCCAGAGGAAGTGCTCTATCGGGTAAATTGGTGTTTCTATCCTTGTCGGCAACAGGCATTCACATATGATATTTTATTGGTCAGATCGCTACTGCGCTTACGTTATGATTTTTTTTAAAACGTTGCTGTCATCTATCGTTTTGGAGTGCACTTGCTAGGGCTACCTTGATTAGGGTTATCCTATCACTTTGACACCCACTGGCTTAGATTAGTTGCTGGTTATTGTTATGAGGATCACCTAACAAATGTAGCAGTATACCCTAAACAGATCAAACCCCAGCCTTTTTCCAGAAATCAAGCATGCTAATCGCATTGATTAACTAAAAGAATGTTCTCGCAAGACTTAGTACTATTATGGGTAAGTAAAGAACAGAGGGGAAAAAGAACGTTCAGGAAAAACGCCGGGAACAAACAAATATCGGCTCTCCGTGCTCTGTAATCATCCCGTGTCTGGTAGTCATTACACAGTGCCTACGACCTTGCCTTTTTGGTCGGCCAATCGGTGTCTGGCAGGTTTCAGCGAATAGCCAATCGGAGCGGCCTGGGCGACCTTGGTAACCATAGCAACTGGTGACAGGTTGCAGATAGATTGGATACGACGAAATATGGCGTTTTCAATCGAGCAGCTTACCGCAATACTTCAACATCAACAGAAGCAATTTGAAGAAAACCAGACACGATTGCTTGCGAATATGTTTCAGCGGTTCGCAGTTGAAACATGACCGAACAAGGAAAAGCAACAGTCGTCAGCGGATGCAGTTGCTAACAGTATTTTTAAGTTTTAATGTGACCCGGATGCCGGCCCTACCTCCGAATCTTGGTTCAGAAGAAATGAAGACGTTTTCCGGTCCGAATTCGCTGACGCTGACGACGGATGAAAGTGCAGGCTGCTCTTGGGGAAGCTGGGGACCAAAGAACACGAAAAGTTCCTCAATTTTATTTTGCCTAAATGTCCCAAAGCTTTTACATCCGATCAAGTTGTGCAATTCCTAATTAATTTTTTTGGCGAACAGTCTTCTTTCTTCAACCTCCGGTGCAGTTGCATGAAGCTGGTTAAAAGTACGTCAGACGATTTTGTTTCCTACACTAGTAACATCAACCGTCATTGCGAGCGATTCAAGCTGAAGCAGATGATGGATGGTCAGTTGAACGCACTGATTTTTGTTTGTGCTCTCCAAGCGCCCGAGGATGTCGAACTACGGATGATATTACTTAACAAGATTAAGCAGGATTAGTCTCACGCCAGAGTCTCATCAATTTGAAATCAGGTACAAACTTGATTGCTCAAGGCCACAGCCCATGCCCCGTAGATGTGCTGGCGGTGTCAAATCAACGCGAAAGTTCGACGAACGTTTCGAAGCACGTGAAGCAAACTGGGCCATCATCCGCATTGTGGGGAATAGCACTTTGTCATATTCTATCCGTTCAACAAATATCTCTGTCTGAAATGCAACAGACGGGGTCATACGGAGGATCATTGCAGTCTTCTTACCTTCAAGCGTGATGTTTCCACCAGCTATTCCATAAAGTTTGTACTAAATTCGTCACCAAAGCATAGATACCGGCTTTATCCCGTTTTTGCTACTTTCGATGAGGGGGGGCTCAAAACGCGGAAGGTTTTTTATAATAATTGTGAATCAGGTGCTTGTGCACCTACAAGTTGACACTACCTCTGATATCACGGTCATTTCCGAGATAACTTGAAAGAAGATTGGTGCAGGAAACAATGCGCTTTGCAACCAATGCTTCGGGAAGAGTGCTGGACCTCTTTGGTGAAATTTCTTGCCCTGTACTGTTGAAAGACTGCCACTTCGTGTGGGTTTGCTACGTAACAAGGCACCCAGATCTGACCCTACTCGGTCTCCACTAGATTGACAATGTAAAACTGCTGAATGTTCCTCTGAATTCCGTGTGCAACAAATTAAACGACGGAGCTGTAGATTGCACGAAGACTCTACACAAGAAATATCCACAGGTGCACCAGTGTTGAGAGGAGCAACACCCAAATGTTTTTATTCAATATCCACTGGTGTTTCAAGATGGTCTTGGACTGTGCACGAAAACCAAGGCCCGTTTATCGCTACGGCCAGACGCAAAGCCAGTCTTCCGACCGAAGCGATTGCTTCCATATCCTATGGTTTCAATGGTCGACCAAGAATTTGACACGCTGCAGTCAGCCGGAGTTATCAAACCGACCGAGTGGTCTTCATGGGCAGTCCCCATTGTGATTGTCAAGGAAGCAAACGGAAATATCTGCCAATGTGCAGATTATTCTACAGATCTGAATGCTGCTTTGGAAGTCCACGAGTACCCTCTACCCCTCCTTGAGAACCTTTTTGCACGTCTGAACGATGGGAAGTGTTTTGTCAAAGACATATCTCCAGATTGAAATGTCAGAGGAATCGCATGAGTTGCTAACGGTTAACACTCACAGAGGACTTTTCTGGTACACACGCCTACCATTTGACGTTAAGTCGTCCCCGATACTTTTTCAGCAGATCATGGATACGATGCTACATGGAATACCATATGCCGCTACAAACTTGAGCGATGTCATTATCATGGGGTCTAAACAGGAGGAACTGCGCCAACGAACAGAACACGTGCTTGACAGGATTAAGGAGTATGGACTTCGCTTGAGAATGGATAAGTGTGCGTTTTTCATGATCTCCATTAAATATCTCGGCTTTATCATTGACCAAAATGGACGACGACGACCTGATCCATCAAACATCAAAGTATTCAAGGGCATGCCCCCACCTAAAGATGTAACGATGTTGAGATCATTTCTGGGTACGGTGAGTTACTGCAGTACCTACCTACCGTCCATGCACGACCCACGCGGACTATTAAGCCGATTGGTGGTGAAGGATGTTCCCTGTGCCTGGACCACCAATTGTCAGAAAGCTTTCGACAGGATCAACTCTTCATTCGTCGGTCAGAACTGATGCTAACGCACTACAATCCAAAGTTACTAATCGTCATCACGGCATCGGATGCATCCAGCTACGGGGTCAGCGCAGTCAACTACCACATTTTCCCAGCCGGGTCTGTAAAGCCGTTCACTCATGCCGCTCGTTCACTGACAGCAACAGAAAGAAATTATGGTCAAATTGAGAATAATAATAATAATGTGTCAGCTGTACGCCGTAACGGCGCTGCGTTGCCGCGCGACCACCACCAGTCGCGCGCGGGTTGAGTATACCGCGAGGACGCCCACCCCTACGCGGATTCGAACCGGTGACCTTATGGTTGCAAACCAAACGTGCAGACCACTCGGCCACCGGTCGACCAAATTGAGAAGCAGGTTATTGTATATGCAGTGAAGCATTCCTACAAAATGTTATATGGCCGACACTTTACCTTACTAACGGACCACAAACCGCTTCTTGCTATATTCGGCTCGAAGCAAGGAATTTCGGTATATACGACGGCGAATCGACTGCAGAGATGGGCCACAACTTTGCTAGGGTACGACTTCAACATCAAGTACCGATCGACATTAGTCAAACCAATGCGCTGTCACGACTGTTGGACGAACAGCCCTAACCAGAAAACATTGTTGTTGCTATTGTCTCCATCGAAACGGAAGTCAACCGTGTGTTCTCGGATACTGTGAGCCAGCTCCCAATATCTTTCAGTCTGATACGAGACGCAACCTTACGGAACCCGCTGTTGTCAAAGGTGAGAACCTTTAACCATTCACAGTGGCTAAGAAAATCTTCGGACGCACAGCTACAACAACTGTTCCAGAGACGAAGGGCATTATCGTCCAAGCTTGTATCATGTTTGGCGAACTTGTCCTCATTACAGCCGAACTTCAGTCTAAAGTCCTACATCAATTTCATGCTGGACATCCCGTCTCTAACAGGATGAAGACTCTAGCAAGGAGTTACCTGTACTGGCCATTTATGGATTCCCGAATTGAGGAGTTAACACGTTCATGTTCACAGTGTACCCTGACAGCAAAATCGCCGCCGAAATGCGAACTGTTCTCCTGGCCGATGTCCACGAAACCACGCTCAAGGGTTCAACTTGATTTCGCAGGGCCAGACAAATGAAATAGCTCCTTACTTATCATCGATGCATGTATTCTCAACAGTCTATTAGCTAGACACAGAGCTACAAGGAGTGACTCCAAGCCGAGTGACGCTTGGGAGATCAAGCAAGTCGAGAGCCTTCGAACAAATCCAGGCTGGTCGGAAAGTGACGTACAGGAGCGGAGATACGAAGTAAAACAGGCGAAGCTGAGTTGTCGAATTGTCGCCAATTGGCGGGCGAAGGTGCCCATCAACCGCATCGCATTTCTGGTGCGTTGTGGTGTAGAAATGTGACTATATGTGTGTGGGCGTGAGCGCGTGTGGGACGGATCGTGACGTGCAATACAGATCGTGCTTTATTGCCCCGTCGTTCTTGCGACGGGCACCTTCGCCCGCTAATTGGCGACAATTCGGCAACTCAGCTTCGCCTGTTTTGCTTCGTATCTCCGCTCCTGTACGTCGCTTTCCGAACAGCCTGGATTTGTTCGAAGGCTCTCGACTTGCTTGATCTCCCAGGCGTCACTCGGCTTGGAGTCATTTCTTGGGGCATAACAATCGGCGTCTTTGTCTTAATTCTTGGCCTCTCCTCCAATATCGTTTGAGATCTTCCGGGAGCAGACTTTTTTCCCGTCGTCGCCCGCGGTCCCTTTTCCACTCGTCCGGTAGGGCCTGCGTTATGCTAACTGATTCCGATGCCTCTGTCGGATACTCTTTCTTGCTCTTGTCGTTTTCTGCTGTTCCGTGTTGTCGAAGTCCTCCGCGCCTCTACACCCGCCCCTCCTCGAAGTTGTTGCTCTCTCGTGTGCCATGGTCTCACCAGGTCTGTATTCATCCAGCGCTTCATCATTCCATTGTCAACTTTGACATTCACTCCTCTTCGGTCAACTACAGTGTAGGGACCTTTCCAACGTTCTTTGAACTTGCTTGCCCCGGGCCCTCTGTGTATTGGATGATCATGCTTGCGCACCTTGACTTGATCTCC